GCTCAAAGCTGACCACCCTTCTGAAGGATTCTTAGACCTACCTGGGTTCACAACACAACAGCATCTTACAGACTACACCCACAAACGTGGTGGTGGTTGTTGTTAGGTGCCATCGGGTCAATCACAACTTGTCATGATCCCTTGTACAGTAGGGCTAACCCTGCCTTCCACCGAGCCGCCCCCACCATCCCTGTCCTCTCGGATCCCTTGTCACACTGCATCTGTCAGTCCCTCCTGTCGATGTCACACACTCTGTGTCTGTCAGTCCCTCCTATTGATGTCACACACTCACTGTGTCTGTCAGTCCTTCCTGTTGTTGTCATACACTCACTGCTCCCATCCATCTGTCAAGGGTCTTCCTTTCTCTCTGAATCCTCCACCCTTCCCAGCAGGATGTCTTTGTCCAATGACTGATCCCTTTCTCACAACAGGTCCAAAGTATGAGAGAAAGTCTCCCTATCTTTGTCTCCAAGGAGACCCTGGTTGCATCTCCTCCATGACAGTCTTCTTTGTTCTTGTGAAATTCCGCTGGGATGTTCAACACTCATTTGCAACATACCAGGTCTTCCTTGTTCGTTCTCAGATGTAGGGAGCAATTGAAAATATCACAGCTTGGATCAGCCTCACCTTAGGTTTTGAACTGACATCCTGCATTTTAGCGATTTGGAGAGGTCACCAATGCAACACATTTATTAATTTCTTGACTGTTATCAAGAAAAAAGGAAACCAAGTAAAACAAAACAGTTGACAACTTGAACCTTTTCTCCATCTAGCATGATGTTGCCTGTTGGCCTAGAACTACAAGTTAGCTTAACTTTCCAAGCACAAGTTTTCCCCACCAGGATCTCCACAGGAGAAATATGGGCTGTTTCCTGTGCGATTCACAGGCTCTGAAAACCAGTGATTGGTCATTTCCAACTTGACGGCATTAGCAATGAGGGTGAGAAGAGGTATCTACAGGGGATCAAACAGATAGCAGCAGCCCGAGGGGTTAGATGGCCTGAGGGGAACCCCCCAGGGAAGGAGGAGAGGGCACTCCACAGAGAAGACCGTCCTGCTGGACCTGTGAATGTGCTCACCTGGTGTTTGTTACCCTATTAAGTCACATACTTTTCTCCTTCAAATAAAACAGAAAGCCCCAAAGGAAGCTCAGTGCCAACCAGTTGATTCCAACTCAGGATCCAACAGGGCGGAGTAGAAATGGCCTCAGGGTCTCCCAGGTGGTCACCGGCTGGCAGCCCACATCAACAGCCACTCCTCGGGAGAAGGGTGGGCAGAGCCCTGTGGACACTTACAGCTTCAAAAAGCCAGAAGAAGGTCTGAGGTGAGACCTGCCTGCCGGGTGGCTGTGCAGACCCCTGTGGCCCTGGGCTGTCCCCACCATGGTGCCTCTGGGCAGGGAAGTCAAATCACCACCAGGTGGCAGAGTGAGCGGCCGGGCTGCAGAATCAGGAGCTTCCCAGTCTCTGCAAGAAGGAGACACTCGTGTCTTCCCAGCAGAACTGGTGGCTTCAAACTGCTGACCTTTGGTTATTAGCCACGTTGCATAACCACTGAGCCACCAAGGCTCCTTGCACCAAAGGACCCAAAAGCCACAGAGCCTTTTAAGAGACGGTTTGCCCTTTAACCAGGAGGAGGCCGATCTCTGGGCAGCAGGGAGAGGACCCTCCAGCAGCAAGGCCGGAAGGAAGGTTCCAGAAAACAAGCTGAGGAGGCGCTGGCTGAGCCCTGTGACTGGCTGCCCACGATGGGCAAGCAGCGGAATCGCCCCGGCCGACTTCCTCGTCTCACACAGCCGAAGTCAATTAGCGAAACCAGTTGAAACCAGTTTGGTGTGAAGACAGCATCACTGGCTGATTGTGAGTTCACCTGAAGTTCATTAGATACTAGCCCACGGCCGCAGGTTGTAAGAAAAAACCCCAGCAGCTCTGCACCTACGAGGGGCTGTGAGGACGCTGCCCCAGGCTTGCCCTGTGACATCAATTGTGCGTCTGGCAGGGGGACAGCCCCACAGGGGCATGAGGCCCAGTGCTGCCCTGTGTTGGTGGAGGGACAGCACCCCAGAGGCACAAGGTCCAGTGTCTTTCTGTGCTCCTGGTGGGGGGACAGAGCTGCAGGGGCACAAGGCCCAGTGCTGCCCTGTGTTCACGGGGTGGGGGTACGGACAGAGCCCCAGGGGCACGAGTCCCAGTGCCACCCTCTGCTCGATGTGCATGGAACAAGTCTGCTCTCTGAGTGGTCTTATTGGAAGGACATTAAGGACCCTTTGCCTACTTGGGTGGTAGGCCCAGCTGATAGCAGCCCTGTGTCATTGTGATTCTATCTAGTGTTCACATCATAAGAGGAATCTGGTGACATCACCAAGAACAAGGCTCAAGTCACATGCTTGGGCCAAGCTTGGGCACAGACCCAGACTCAGTGCTTGGAGCCCGCCTGTCCTCCTGGGACGCTCTTACGTGTCACCCTACACCAGGTACGAGGATGCCTAGGCAGGGATTTGTGGAAGGACAGGTGCTCACAGCAGAGTTGTGGGAGGGGAAGGTGGAAGGACGCTGTACACAGAGGTCAAGGCATCAGAGGCTAACAGCTGTCAGAATGATGCCATCAGAGGGTCACTGTCCAAGTTAGGGTGGCGGGGGGATGGCCCTCGTACCCCATGCATCTGCTCTTCCTAAGGCCCTTGGTCCTGGTAACCCATGTGTTACTTGTCAGGCTGCTAACTGAAGGGTCAGTGAAAACTCAGCTGTTGCCCTTTGGGAAATGATGTCCCACTGAAATGCTCAGCCTCAGAGTCCGAGTGGAGGTTGTTTGCGAGGAGAGGCGGTCAGCTCCGCACGGTGGGGCCCGCTCTGCACGGCGGGTGCACCAGGATGGAGCCCCCCAGAAATGGAACTGTAGCCTTGTTGGTAACGTTTCACATTCCAGCTGCTGCCGTGCACAAAGGAAACACATCCCTGGCTGGTGCCCAGGTGTACTGAGCCGTTGCCAGAACAGCGTCCTGTTTATGTTCAACCTCGAGAACCCGTGTATGGCTAACGTCCTCACCAGCTCAGGTCCCAGCGGCCAGCAAAGGGCTCGGGGTGCTGGGCAGGGGGCAGAGGGGCAGCTGGCAGCTCTGGCTCATTTAGTGTGAGTTAAATAAACCTCTGCGCCCCCCAAGTTCAAATACCCCATCCAGAGCAGTGTCCCTCTCGGCTTCGAGTTGTGGGGAGACGCCCTGGGCACCGTGCCGACCCTTTGTTGGGTTTTGTGGCTGTGAATGTTTACGAGGGGCTCTGGGGCGTAGTCCATCGGGGATGCACGCTGACCTCTGCAGCTGCTGGAGGCCCTCAACGGCTCCTCCAGAGAAATGCGCGCAATCTCTTCCTGAGGGATTTGCAGCTTTGAAGGCTGCTCAAGGGCCAGCTGTGAGTTTGTTCCAACTGGACAGCAGAGTGTGTGTGTGTGTGTGAGAGAGAGAGAGAGAGAGAGAGAGAGAGAGAGAGAGAGAAGAGAGAAGAGAGAGAGAGAAGAGAGCAAGAGAGAAGAGAGAAGAGACAGTGCCCACCTTTCTCCCCTGGAGTGACTGGTAGACTTTCCATTAGCCACTGGACGCATCTACCTCGGTTCACAGGTCTGTGTAAACCCCAGCTCCAGCTCAGCATGTGGCTGGACCCCAGGTCCCAGCGTGGGTGGACACGCCTTCAGTGTGGACACTGTCACTTCCCTCAGCCTCTGCGCACAGACCACTGTGCCAACCTCGTGAGACTGGTCCCAGCCACACAAAGCTCAACCCACAGCTAGGTCACTGGTTCCCCAGGGCACAGAGAAGTTAGGGTGACCCTTCCCCAGGGCACAGAGAAGTTAGGGTGACCCTTCCCCAGGGCACGGAGAAGTTAGGGTGACCCTCCACGGTGGTTTGTGAAGTTTGGAGTAGCGAGATGGAAAAGTCTGGAATAACATGAGACACAGAGCCTTGATCACCGCCCCTACACCTCCAGTCGGCGAGAGGCCCGGCGGGTCTGTACTGTCATCCGCTGACAGCCTTGTGACAGCCCACCCGTCTTAGGCCGCACAGAGACACCTTCCGGGGCGGCCAGGTGCCCTTGGTGCCTTCTCACAGGCACACAGCGAGGGCTGTGGAGTTTCCTAAGTGGAATCTTGCTGGACTTGAGCAGGTTCAGGGCTCTGAGATGCACTGACCCCCACCGAGGGCTCTGCACCGAGCTCCAGGCCACTGACCACAGGTGCCCACAGGCTGCGTGTCTTTGTGCTCTGACAGCCTCTTGTTCCCCTCACCCCCAGGAGAGAATGCGGTTTAAATGGAAAACACTGTTTGTGGTCCCGCTGCTTTTCTTGCTGCTGTGGATGGAGCAATGTTTCCGGTAAGGAGGAGGTCCCCTGTGCGCAGTCCTGACGAGGCTGGTGGTCTGTGCGGGTGCTAACTGAGAGGTGGGGGGGTCTGAAGGGTGAGCTGGTGGAAGGATGGCGTCTCCTCCACGGGCTGCAGCCTCAGAACCAGGAGGGTCCCGCCTGGCAGCCAGCTGGTGGTTCTGGCTTTGGTCTGACGTCGGGCTTCCTTCAGTGATCATGTGTCTACACAGCCAAGTTTTAAGCACAGATACCAACAACACCATCGACAGCCGCCGGAAGTTACCTCTTCTTGGGGGGACTGTGCAGGTCTCAGCTCTTCCACATCTCACACCCAGACGCACCTGCTGGGCCCCCTCGGCATAGGCTCAGGCCTAGGAGCTGGGGACACCGCAAGACATCACAGGGGACATGCAAACTTGAACCCTCCACAGTGGGCCCAGGAAACACTGAGCGTTCAGTTTAGACACGGCAGTAGGGCCCAGATCTGACCCAGCAGTGGTGTGGCTGAGCCTCTGGGCCCCTGGGAGCTGGGTCGCCCTCCACCAGCATCTGGTGAGAGGGTGGTGTCAGGGAGAGGCCCCCAGATGGTGACGACGGTCAGCGTAGGACAGACGCAAGGGGCAGTGAGCACGTGGAGAGAGCCCCAGATGGGGGACGACGGTCAGCGTGGGACAGACGCAGGGGGCAGTGAGCACGTGGAGAGAGCCCCAGATGGGGGACGACGGTCAGCGTGGGACAGACGCAGGGGGCAGTGAGCACGTGCCATCTGAGACAGGCGTCCACAGACGTTCTTGGGATCGCGGTTTCCATCGTGACAAGCACGTCTGCAGAGTGACATACACGATGAGGTGTGATGGAAGGAGGGACACTCAGTTTAAATGTGGTGGAAAAGATACAGCAAGGAGAGATAGAGGAGTGGGTTGCACAAACTGTAGACAAACACAGTTGTAGGTAAATTGGATGTCATCTCAAAGTCCCAACTTGGGTAGCTCTGGTGGCCTAGTGGCAAGGAACTGCAACTACAATCCCAGAGGCGCACTGTTCAAATCCACCAGATGCTCTGCCGGGGAAGGAGGGACAATCTTCTCCTGTACCAGTCAGATCTGATTTGACGGTACACGCACACAAAAATAAAAAATAAAATAAACTATATTGAAATCCACCACCTTTAAAAAAAAAAGTCCCAACTTTGTGTTAAATGTGAATAAGACTAACAGTGGCCTGCTGCACCTGGGACTTGCCAGAATCTTCTCAAGTAGGAAAAAATGTCTCCTCCCGGGCTGTTCTTCCCACAGCGCTCACGAAGGCCATCTGCAAAGACAGTGTGTCTACGGATGCAAACAATGCAAAGGATGTACCTCAAATAAACAAAGAACTCAGGTGAAACTCAACAATGAAAAGAGAAAAGGCACTCCCCTCAAACAAGAGCACAAGGCTGGAAAGGCAGCTCAGAGAGCACAGGGAGGCGATGAGGTTTAGAACGACTCAGCCTCAGGTTTTATTTATTAACCACAAATGAATAAAGAGTGAGATACCACTACACAGATGTTAGAAAGGCAGAGAGAAAGAAAACTCTGATGAGCTGTCGAATATGGAGAAACAGGAGTCTCCATTCAGGACTGGAGCAGCCACTTTGTGAGGCCGCCTGACGGTTTCTGACGAAGCTGGAAGTTGTCTTCGGGGACGCAGTGACTGTCCTTCCAGCAGTTTGCCCAACATAAGATTCAAGGCGAGCTCTGGTGGCCTAGTGGCAAGAGACTGCACTGCAATTCCATAGGTGTGCCGTTCCAATCCACCAGATGATCTGCTAGAGAAGGAGGGACAATCTCCTCCTGTACCAGTCAGATCCTATTTGACGGTACACACACAAAAATAGTAAAATTTAAAAAAACTTTAAAAAAGATTCAAGGTGTTGCACCCACACAAAACCCTGCAGGAATGCCTAGAGTGACCCCCAGACTGGAAACAAGGTGTTCTCCACAAAACGATACCCAGCCATAAAAAGAGATTTTGTTTGGTGATGGAAAGAGAATAAATGCAGTCAAGGCACTGAAGCCGTGCACGAGTTGTAAATGCCTGCTGTGTGGATGGCGGGACGGAGGCAGCTTGAAGCCCACGTGCAGTGCGAGTCAGGTGGACGTCTTCGAGGAGATGTAGTTAGGACACAGGAGAGAGCTAAGCCTCCCCGGGATTTCGGAGAAGAAGGGAAAGAGACACACGGGGAACTTCTGGGGCAGGAAAATTGCTTCGCAAGATCCTGTGGTTGTAGATAAGTGACATCACACAGTCACTAAACTGAACTTTACAAAAGTGGGTCCTATCAAGACAACCATGAGATATCATCTCACTCCAGTAAGACTAGCAAAATTTAACAGAACAGCAAGCAACAAATGCTGGCGAGGTTGTGGAGAGACT